TCAAGTCACTTTTATTTATAGGAATCCTTCAGACTCTGGTGGCTATTGACTCGACAAATCCATTTGACCTCAAATATCACTGCAGAAATGTTTTTGCGGCGGGTTTATTAGCTCAGAAGTCTTTCCCAGGCTAAGCTTTTTTCCAGCAGTGCCCTTCCAGCAGGCTGGTGGAAAAAACAAGACCCAAAGAAGGAAGTGGATTCTTAGCAGCGGTCATGCAGACTGTTTTATTCTCATGGCGTTTTTGCACGGCATTAGCAACTCAAAGGCACCAGTTCAGCACGGCACTTCAGCTATTTGCTGAATCAGGGGCTGAAAGCTCAAGAGAAAGAGGAGGAGGAAGGACATGGGTGTTATTCCCACGGATTTTCACAGAGCATTAAACGACTGTTAGCTGAGCGACAAGAATTTACCCTATTGCAGCTGCAGTGGATGAGATCTGTGCTCTTTTGATGGGGCAGCCTGAAACTAACACGGCAACAAGTCATCAAGTCCCTATCTTCAGTGAGGGAGAAGGAAGTAAGATTCCAAACTTCAGTCCTCTTTGAAGCTGCTTTTTTTCGCCTCCAACTCCACCCGATCTATTCTTCTTGATCAATCTCTTGTTTCTGTTTCCCTGGTCCATCACTGTGTGGGACATCCAGCTAACGGAACGCTCGTGTTACTGCTGGAAAAAGCTAAAACACCGCACCAGAGCAAAACGACTCCTAGCGGAGTAACTTTCTTGATAGCCACGATGTGAGGATGGAGGAAATGATACATGGCATGATATTTCTCTGCCGTGGGTCCCACTGTATCAGTGCTGTAAGAAGTACTGATGTCGGTGGGGAAGGCACTACGCTCTCTCAGCTGCTCCATGTATCTGGTAAATGTTCAGCCTGGTTCGTCATGGCAGCACTGGGGGAAATACCCCGACTATGAGAGACAGCAGGTGAACATCAACCTGGTCTTCATTTGGAGGGGTTTGGGTCAGGTGGTTGACTTCTGTTGTGCTGCTAAAATAAAAGGGCACTCCCAGATGCAGGAGTAGAGCAGGAGGCAGAGGAGCCAGCCTCCAAACCTCATGCAAAGAGAAAAAGAAGCTCAGCTCACACTGACTGCATCAGATCTGGATGTAGCCCTTCACACACGATATCTTGCACTGAATAGTAATTCATCACACGCCCTTCAGTAGCACCTTTGTCCTATCAGTAACTTACTGAGCCCTCGCAAGCCCAAATGATCCTTACGTGCATCGTTCCCTGAGTTACTACAAGCCATTTGACTGTAAATGGGTTCTTTGGCACCAATCAGCAGATCGTTGACCTTAGCAGTATGATTATGCCATCAATACGCATCTGAAGCAGAGACATGAGTGACTTGGTATTGAACGATTAATTTCACATATGGAAATGCATGTGAAAGTGGTCGTGCAAAACTGGAGATCTCAAAGGCCCCCAGAGGGATTGCAGAGGAAGTGCAGAGTGCCAGATGGAGAAAAAGAGCCTGAGCACAGAAGCATCTCTTGATGAACACACGGATCCCAAGTGCTTTGCACAGAAAGATAAAACGAGGCACGAATATATGGCCACAAATGGCATGGCAGGGCGGTGGTGAAAAACGGAGTGATGGAGCTTTAGCAATCCAGGCACGTTCTTCCTGCTTGGAACTGCTCACATGGTTGCAGAGATGATCAGCGGACATCCCATGGCAGGAACAATACCTTTAATTTAGTGCTGGCCTAAAAAAAGTTTTCCAGCTTGTCTCCACTGCAGCAAGCACCTGAAAATGTGATCCTCCAGAAAATGAAGGGGCCATGATTTCATATTATCATCTGTCAGCGGGATCTGAGGCTGAAAGCCAAGCAGCAAATGGCACGAAACTCATTGAGAGACTGAGGATTGCAACACCAGACAGAAAACAAAGTCAGCCATTGGGCAGGGGGAGGGGAGAACAGAAACAGAATTGAGAAAGGCCTGGAGCCATGAGGAAGGGAGAGGGTTTGGGCCTCTTTGGGAGAAGAGAAGTCAGGTGGGTTTCACTGATGTCACACAGAGAGGAATTTTCTAATTCCTATTCACTGAAGAACAAGTGAAGAGAACTCTCTACTGCCGCCAGCCACAGTCAGCAGCTCTGAACTGTGAAAACAAGCTCACGTGGTGGCTTGATGTACGATCAAGGCTCTACACATCCACCACTGTGCAAAGAAAACGTACCCCAAAAATTCACTCCTTGTCACAGAACACCCATACTGGAACCTAAGTGCCTGTCCAAGTGCCTCTAATGGCAGTCCACCTGCTCATAATTTCACAACAAGCAAGCAGCAATGCTTCCTTTCCAGCTCAATCCAGTTTATCTCATCTTCTCAATGGGGTGCATTTGCCATCCCCACGCACTTTGAACCAGTCCTATGATTTTATCTTCATGGCAACAACCTTTTGCCTTGAGAAGGAGCGCTTATTAACTAGAGACAGCGTCATTTTCAAAGTGATTTATTTTATGAGGGCTTTGAAATAAATTATCAGTCGGTGATTGGCCACAGGGGAAAGCATATAAAAGCTTACCACGTGCACTGAACATACCATCTGGAATCCTTTAAAATCGAGCTTCAGGGTGGCTCAGCTCATTCTTCTGAGTGCATAATGTTCACAGTGTACACTGAAGCATGAACATAAAAGTGGAGTGACATAACCCAGAGAGAACCAACACTGCAACTGAAGCTTTCTATCTCGAATCTCGCTGTTCCAGCCCATCATCATCCCTGCAGGCATTCAAGGCCAGGCTGGATGTGGCTCTGGGCAGCCTGGGCTGCTGGTTGGTATCCCTCTCATAGCAGGGGGTTGGAGCTGGATGAGCATTGTGCTCCTTTGCAACCCAGGCCATTCTAGGATTCTATGATCAAAGGCTGGCATTTTCTTCACTAAGACTGATGTCACAGTCCATCATTTTAATCCTATTAAAAAGAAAAAAAAAAAAAAAAAAAGAAAAAAACCCCACAAAACATCCTTTCACTTTCCAGTTATGTGAAAAAGGGACGCCTCCGCCATGTGTCAGATTTCCACCTTCTGACTGGCTGCTGTAAAAGCAGAAGGTACAAAATCCATACTGTTGTTGTTCCTCTGGATTTACTGCCTGTGGCATGCACTGCCCTCTGGGTGCAATAAAGTTTCCCAACTGTAATGTTTGTCACATTTCAAAACCTCTGTTATTGTCCCTGCAAAGTACTAAATCTGACAGGCTGGAAAGTCATGAAGTGAAATCCAGTGTCATGCAAGCAAGAATCCAACAGGAGAGATCCGGATGCTCACACTGCCTACACCATTGCATTCTCAGCCCTCCTGAGGTCAGCCTGCTGGTGAATAGTACCATATTGCTTGCAGTACAGAATAACAGACCTACTTTCGGTATGGTCTGTTGCTCTCAGGCTCACAGTTCGGCCTTTGAAAGACAAAAGGGATCCTGATCCATTGAGAAGGCAGCTCTCTCATACAGCTGGGGAGGGCACAGTGCATGGGGGGTTACAGAGCAGACAGATGCTCCCACGTGGCGAAAGGACAACGAATCCCAAGTCACAGCAAGGGAAAGTCTGACTATTACGGGGCATAATGGTGGTATTCACTGTGCTGGTGTGTAAGGACTGCACTGGATATCCAGAGATGTCGTGCAATCTCTCTCTTTGGAGATGCTCAAAACCCAACAGGCCAAGGTTCAAAGCTGGCCCTGTTTTGAACAGGAGGTTACAGCACTGCTGCTTTGCAGCCCAAATGTTTATATGATAAAAAACAGTGGCCCAGGTTTGTAATGCAGAGGCAACAGCACAGGCCCTACGATGCAGAGCTGCTCTCACAGAGGCACAAAACTCCCTTTCTGAATAACTGAAATAATCCCACAGCGGGACTCAAAATGGACTGATGGAAAACAACGCTTCTTACAATTCGGAGCCAATTTTTTTACACACAGCTTGCATTGTCTTCCCTAAGAATTGCATGCAGGCTCTGAACTTGTAATTTCATCCCAACTTTTTTTTCTTTTTCTTTTCCCACTGCACAGTTTGGAGCGTGTTGCAATGTCTTCCAATGGGACGCAGCCAGGGCTGTGCGTTAGAACCTCCAAGCACTGCTCCTGGCACTACCATGGGTCGGTGGCACGAAAGGGAGACACGGAGCCCTGGAGTGTGCTAAGGGAGGGGAAGGGAGCGGGGAGGGCTGATGGGGGCAGCTGAGGGAGCTGGGTGGGTCAGTGTGGGGAAGAGGAGGCTCGGGGAGCACCCACTGCTCTCTACAGCTCCCTGACAGGAGCTAGGGGTGAATGTGAATAAATGTGAATACGGGAAAGCAGCGCGCATTGGCGCGAACATGGCGCGCGGCGCCCCGAAGGCACGGCAGCGGCGCGCGGCGCCCTGAAGGGCTGGAAGAACCGCGCCCACCCCCATCTCCCCTCAGCGGCGGTGGGGGAGGGGCAGCGCCACGTGACCGCGGAAGGGCGGGACGAATGGGGGATTGTCACGTGGGGTGGGTGGGGCTTGGTTCGCCCACCCTTCCGGTCGGCGCGGGGGCGGGGCGTGTGACGCATTTCCGCTTCCGCCTGGGCGTAGGGGAGGCGGTGGTGCTGCGGGCCGCCGCCTGCTGCCTGGTTCCGCTCCGGCCTGTGCCGCGCCGCGCTACTCCCGCAGGTACCCGCCCGGCCCCGGGCACCGGCACACGAGGAGGGAGGGGGGGATGGCGGGCCCGAGCGGCGGGGCGCCGCCTTTCTCCCCGCAACCACGGAGCCGCCCCCGGGGACCGCTGGGCCGCAGCCGGCTGCGCCCCTCCAGGCCCCGTGGAGCCGTGCGGGGGCGGCGCCGGTGGTCGCTGCCCTGAGGGGAGTGGCGGGAGCTTGGGGTGGGCGTAGGGCTCCGAGGTCACGGGGAGGGGCTGCACGGTGGCTGCGGCCGCCTGCGCCTAGGTGGGGCTGGGGGCTAGGAAGCCGAGCTGGCTGGTTCGTGACGATCCCTATTTTAGGCCTCGGGGGAGCGGGTTGCTCCGCTTCGGCTGGGTGAAATATTTGGTCGGTTTCCGCTGTTAGGATCTGAGCTTATAAATGAATATATAAATGCGGTGTATATATAACCGTTAAACGTTTCTCATTAAGAGAAGTCCCGAATCAGGTTTGTGATTGTGGCTTGTGAGAAGTCATTTTGTTTTCTCGAGTGTTGCTATCGTTCAGGTGGGTGACTCACTGACAAAGGCAGCACAGTGCAAAATTGAAGAGAGCATTTCCTGGAGACCGAGCTGCCTCTTTGCCAGGGAGATGGGTTTTGAGGTGCAATCAAAGGAAAATGATCACTTCTTGCTGTTTGTTCAACCTTTTTGTCTGTGGATGTAGGAAACAAGGGGTCTTTATTTTTTAAACAATAATTTTTTAGAAGGCACATCCTGAAGCATCCCTTCCCTAGAGCAGTGGGACCAATGACTGATGTTAAAATGTGTGCCAACCATCAAGCTCCTCCTGTAGAGCACTTCAGGTAATTTTGAAGCTGAAGTTCATTCAAGCATACCCTTTCAGTGAGGAATCAAGAATGAAAAGGCACCGTGTCCATTCGGTGAGGCTGTATTCTGAAAAGCAGTTATGCTGGAGAAGGATCTCTGCAGAGAAGCAGAAGGGCGTGGAGTTCTGTTTGTCATCGGTGGGGCTGATACTGGAAGATGACACATAGTTTTGGTGTTGCTTTAAAAACAAGGAGGACCTTCGATAACTGCTCACATTTAGCTGGTAATTGGTGAGTATGTACCGTTGTTAGGAGGAGGATGTAGGTGTTCATTAACGTTTACAGGTAGTTCAGGAAGCCTTCCAAAGAATTGATAACAAAGCTAAAGCTGGAAATACATAAGCAGGCTTCTCAAAACAAGGACAATGTGGTGAAAATGGACTGCATGTCTCTGAGGAATGTTCAGAAGCTGCTTTGGAAGAGATGTTTTAATTTTCTTGGAGCTGCTCAACTCACATCTCTGTAAAACTCCCAGGGTAGGATCTTCATGGAATCATCACAGAACGGCCTGGGTTGCAAAGGAGCACAGTGCTCATCCAGCTCCAACCCCCTGCTGTGTGCAGGTCACCAACCAGCAGCCCAGGCTGCCCAGAACCACATCCAGCCTGGCCTTGAATGCCTGCAGGGATGGGGCATCCACAGCCTCCTTGGGCAACCTGTGCCAGTGCCTCACCACCCCCTGTTGTGGCCAGGAGTGATCTTTGGCAGTGGAGACTTGCAGTTTTCTGCTGGTTTGCAGCACAGCTGGCACACAGATAAGCCACCTCAGCACTGATGTATGTTTGCTGGTTTGGGAAGCTTCTGTTTGTGATGTTGGGGCCACCCGAATTGATCAGGTCTCATCTTAGGAGGGGAGGCAGCTGTGAAACGGAACGGCTTGTCTTGTGTGGAGAAATGGAACAGATTACAGTTCCTTATGGCCGTGTATTTTGTGGGCCTTGGAAACTGGTAAGACTTCTGTTTTGAATGGTTTTTTTTTTCTGGTCGTTGGTAATTTATAGCAAACGCGCTAACGAGCGTCGTTGTGGTTGTCATTCACGATTAGATCAGTGCTGACAATCTGAAGACTAAAAACCCTCCTCCTGCCTTTTCAGTCAAAACAGGCGGAGGAGAGAACAAAAAGATCACTGCATCTAAAGCAGCTGCTAACTATGCAACTGTTGCTTTTTATCTTCAGTCTGCCTGCCGTTTATTTCCCTAATGGATAAAGGCACTGGTCAGGAGAAATTGTTGCACGGTGCTGGAGTGTGGCATCCAAAAGACCCTAAAAATGGAGAATGGGCAGCTATAAACTGCTGATGCTTAATGCCTGAAGGGAGAAGCTGCAGTAGAAGCTGGCAGTGGTCTCTCTTGCATTTGATCTGCGTAGCTGTGTTGGGTAGTTAGAGTTATGTGGGCAGGAATCCTGTTGTAGCTGAGGTTTTGCTGGTAGGCATTAGTCATGTCACAGCGACAAAAGAACCTCTTTGCTGATAGAGCTGTGCCACCCGGTGGAAATGCAGCTGTGCCTGTTGCATTGAGGAGGATTTCTGTTGCTCTTTGGAAGGTGATCTCAGGGGAATCAACTCTGAAAGGGCAGATAACAGCAGGGCAAGGGGAAATGGTTTGAAGTTGAGGGAGGGCAGATGGAGGTTGGATGTCAGGGGGAAGTTGTGTGCTGTGAGAGTGGTGAGGTGCTGGAACAGCTGCCCAGAGAGGCTGTGATGCCCCGTCCATCCCTGGAGGTGTTCAAGGCCAGGTTGGATGGGGCCCTGGGCAGCCTGGGCTGCTGTGAAATGGGGAGGTTGGTGGCCCTGCATGGCACAGGGGGGTTGGAGCTTCGTGATCCTTGAGGTCCCTTCCAACCCAGGCCATTCTGTGATTCTGATTCTGTGGAGATGGGAACTCAATCTGTCACATCAGGAGTGCAGAAAATGTTGTGCAGCCGATGAAGTTATGAAAACAGTCGAGGCTTTGTTTGAATAGCTTTAGCAAAAGAAGGAAGCAGGGTTTGGGGCAGCTCTTTCTAATGGCAGCCACCGGGGACCAATGATGAAGAAAAGCCAGGGAGGGCAAGAGCATGGGAAAAATACTCCTGCATTGCTCATTTCCACTTGGTTCTGATGAGAGCAGAGAGGACACAGAGCTGAAGAAACACCGTGGGGCTGTTTTATGGCGGAGGCTGAAGGGTTTGGTTTGCCTTACGGAGCATCAAGCCCAGCAGTGGGGTTTTCACAGAGCTCTGAAGCTTGCTGTGTATTCAGCTGGTGTTTGGTGTTGCAGGTAGGACTGGCCTGGCGGTGCTGCAGAGGGGCACTCTCACCTGCATGTTGTTAATTCCTAGTAATTAGAGGTGAGCTGTTGGGTGTCCAGGAGGCCTTGGATTCTTGTCTGCAGGCTGTTTCTGTAGTTTCTGGGTAGGTGTGCTGGAAGTCCTCCGTGCCAAGTTTCAGCTCGGGATAAAGGATGGGAGATTCTGCTCCTCATGCTTTCCCTCTGTTTATCCCAGACACCGGTGTTTCCTCTTTGCCTCACTTCAGTTTGATGTTTTTGGCCCTATGCTGTGTCTGGAGCTGCAGGCTGAGTGCTTCTGTGAAGCACAGGGTGCTGCCAGGGGCGTTGGTCTGCACAGCACAAAGGAAATGTTGTCCTGCAGCAGCGTGGATGCAAGCAGGACTTTGGATTGAATGCTGCCAGTTCTGTGGCCTTTCTCCTGCCTGCCAAATTACTTAAACTCCTTGAATCCTCCTCCTTCTATTCGCTCTTCTTTTTCCCCCCGCCCCAAGAAAGTGCAGTCTGAAGTAGGGTTTAAATGCAGCAGGAAGAGATGTCTGATCTGTGGGCTGTGATTCTGTGACTGGCTTTTCTCTACACAGAACTGCAAAGGGAGACTCCAAGCCCACTTGTGCTAAAAGCCTCATCAATGCAACAGTGTGTTTTCTGAGATGGTGAGCCCACAGGTTGGCAGTGGGGACCCTGAGATCTTCGGTCCAACAATGTCAGAGTTTCTTTATGAACACGTGGATGCCTTGGGCAGTGCTACAGATAGAACTGGTATTTCAGGGAGGTTTTGACTGGAGTTCGGTGCTGTGCAGCTGGAATGGCACATGGATTCTAGATGGGTTTGTGTGGTGAGTGTGTCTATCAGCACCAGAGTCACTCCTTTAATAAATGGAGGTGGCACTGCACAGATGAAATGGGTGTTTGAGGAAGGTCCCCAGACGAGGCCATCCTGTCTGCAAGAGGATCCTTGACATGCTTGGCACTGTCTCAGTTATGCCAAATGTTGCCAGCAAATGTTGCTCCAGTCTGCTTGCCAAAGTGAGAGAGCCACTAAATCTTTATCAGAAGCTGTGCTTTGCTGCAGGTTTTCTCCTAACAGCCATACAGCAGAGTTGTTTCCTTAATTTTCATAGCACAGAAGTCTTTTGAAATAATCAGCTGATAAATATTGGGGATTTTTGCTGGCACTTTGCAGGCAGGCCTCTTTCTGCTGCAGCCATCCGTTGTCACAGAATCACAGCATGGCCTGGGTTGCACAGGAGCACAGTGCTCATCCAGCTCCAACCCCCTGCTGTGTGCAGGTCACCAACCAGCAGCCCAGGCTGCCCAGAGCCACATCCAGCCTGGCCTTGAATGCCTGCAGGGATGGGGCACCCACAGCCTCCTTGGGCAACCTGTGCCAGTGCCTCACCACCCTCTGGCTGAAGAACTTCCTCCTCACATCCAACTTAAACCATGGCAGATGGTCTCTGCCATCCCATAACTTCACCTACAGCTGAGGAGTTCGCTCTGCTTCTGCAGGGCTTTGGTTGCCTGATGGATCGTTGCTGGGAAATGAGCAGAGTCGTGCTGTCAGGAAAGTAAGGCTTAGGTAATAAAATGGTAAACATAATTCAATGTAGATAAATGTGATGTGATTCAGAGAGCTTGAATGTGAAATTGTGTGCATCACTTCGTATATAAAATGATGGGCTGACCCTTAACACTGAAGAATAAAGTACTGCTGTGGGAGTCAGTTTCAGCAGTGAGCAAAAAGAAGACAAACATGAACAAGTATTGGGAAGGAAATAGAGGATGAACCAGAACGTAATTATGGAACTGTATAAATCAATGGCTCTCCCACGTTTTGGATTCTTTGTGGCTGTTTCTTGTCGTTCATCTCAAGAGATACAAAAGAATTGGAGGCACCTCAAAGAGAAGCAGTGAGGATACTCGAGGGGATGGAATAGGTGCTGTGCAAGGGTGAGTGGAATCGGCTCCATCTCAGCACGGAGGAGGAATGGCTGGAAGAGAATGGGAAGAACACACAGTAATGAGCAGCACAGAGAAGGGCTGGGTGAGAACAGATCTGCAGAATGAAGGAGCATCACCTGAAGGTGACAGAGGTGCCTCGGATGGTTGGAAGCACTGAGCTGTCATTGCTGCTGTTCTTCCCTGCAGACGCTGCTGAAGATGAAATGGGGGCTGAGCTCATTGTCCCACTGCCCACAGCAGTGCTGTTTTACCATCAGCAAATTGTGTCGATTTAAAAACAAACCTTACTAATACAGGTTCAGTTCCATGTGAAATATTTGCATTATGTAGATTGGAATTCAGTGGGAGGCTTATAAGCCTTTCTGCTGGGGCCGTCTTGCAACATTTCTTTAGGTGTTGAGAGGTCAGGAATCAGGCACTTGTTAGAGGCTTTCCTTGTGTCTACATTCAAGGCTGCTTGGCTGAAGTCAGTGAAAGCAAATCGGAGCATCCACCGACTTCAGTGTATTTAAAACCCACGTTTGGTACTTCTGAAAATAAGATCTGAATGGGGGTGTAATCGTGTTTAATTTTAGGGGCATTGACTTCACCAACTTCTCCGAGTCCCAGTTTAGAATAGAGCCTGGATACCTGCTGGCATTGCTGCAGAGGCTGCTCGTTTGGCACGAATACCTGAAATATTTCTTCTTGGTGTTGTGACCCATTTACACTGCATTGCTCCCATCTGAGATGAGATGGAGGCTGCAGTTCTGCTGTTTCCTGGCTCCTGTATTGAGGGAGAGCATTTGGGTGGCTGCTGTCTGTCTGCACCCCAGTGGTTGGGATGGAACCATTGCTGAGAAGCTCTGCCAGCTGGACATCCCTTTGGGTTTGAATGAGACAAATGTCCGATTCTTTATTCTTTATCGAACTCTTCCTCGATGTACTTTATTTTCAAGGAATTTCACTCTATTTTACCTTACTTTTCAGCAAAATGTCTGGAACTGATGATTTTTCGGTAAGTAATGGCTTTTTGTTCCTGAAGATCTGCCAGTTGTGTTACTTTGTTCTGCTCAGGCACTTCTGTGAGAAGAGGGGCAGCTCTCAGCTGAGATGATTGCCTTGGCATTGCAGTAGCAGCTCTTTGCTTTGGGGCAGAGCAAACAGTCTGTGGCCTCCAGGTGTGCCTCGCAGGCTCTCTTCTGCTGCGTTGCTCACAGAGGGCTTTTGTCCTGATAGCATCAGAATAGCTACAGTGGAAACTTACAACTCTTCTTCCTGGATTTATACCAGAATTGCTTATGATTCTACTGCTGAAGGTTGCCTTTTATCTTTGGCTTTAGAACTGTGGCACGTCAGGATGCCTCTCTCCTTTAACCATAGAAGCTGCACAAAGTGAACGCAGCCCTCTGCAGCGACAGATGCTCTTTTCCTCCTGTTCAGGCAGCTGCAGTGCATTTGTGTAGTGGGTGAAGGTGGGCAACCAGCAGCTCCCACAGGGATCTGCCATGCTCACGGCCCTTTCTCTCTCAGTTGGCAGATGCTTTGCCCGATCAGTCTCCCGCTAAGACCCCCAAAGTGAGCGGTGCGAAGCCGGGCCAGCAGCCCTCCCAGCCGCCTCAGGGTTGGCCGCCCTCGAATCCTTGGAACAACCCGAGCGCTCCCCCTGCCGGGCCCTCGGCGCTGCCGCCCAACACCTCCGCTTCCAGCGTGCCCTTCGGACCTCCTCCTACAGGAATGTATCCTTCAATGCCCCCCGGACCGCCTGCTCCATTTCCTCCTCCTCCTAGCGGACCCTCTTGCCCTCCTCCCGGAGGTCCGTATCCGCCCCCAGCCGTGCCGGGCCCCGTCCCTCCGGGGCAGTATCCTCCACCAAACATGCCCTTTCCAGAGCTTCCACGACCTTATGGCGGTCCGACGGAGCCGGCTGCGCCTCCCGCTCCCGTCGGGCCGTGGGGATCCATGCCCTCTGCAGCATGGGGACCGACGATGGCGGGGCAGTATCCCGCACCCAGCATGCCGTATCCCCCCCCAGGGCCGTACTCTGCTCCTGCCCAGACTCCGGGAGCGGCGCCGACGGTACCGTGGGGCACAGTCCCACCTGGAACGTGGGGACCTTCGCCGCCAGGTCCGTTTCCTCCACCCGCAGGATCGTACCCGGCTCCAGGACTCTATCCTACGCCCCCTAATCCTTTTCAAGTGCCGTCTGGTCCTGCTGGTGCTCCGTCCATGCCGGGCGGCCCCCATGTGAGTATATATGCTGGATGTGGCACTGGGCAGCCTGCTCTGGTGGTTGGGCGAGCCTGCAGGTAGCAGGAGGGTTGAAACTAGATGCTCACTGTTGTCCTTTTCAACCCGTTCTATGACTTAGTTTTTTGTTATCAGTGAATTGTTCTTGATGCTTTTAAGCGTGGGAATTGGGTAGCGAAAGACCTATTAATGCAGGTAAGAACTTTAAGGGCTCGTCTGCGTAGTCAGTGGAATAACAGGCAATTTTCTGCTTAAACATTGAACTTCGTGCACCAGAGCAGTCACATTCCATCGAGGTGGAGCGTGTCTGAGCACTGCACTGTAGTGGTCTTCCACTTGCTGGAAAGCCTTCTCTAAAAGACAGAAAAAATAAAGGGGAAGAGCTTGTAATAATGTTAGGAATGAAAGATACTGTAGTGTGTAGTCTGGAGAGATTGCTTTTCAGGATGCACGGGGAATAACAATGGTCAAATGTTCTTGAGCTAAGAAGTGCTGTAATGCTAATGAACTGCTTTGTGAAAGCCCTGCAATGACCACCAATTCTCATTGTCTCTTGCAGCCTTACCGTTGAACACGTTCTGGGCAACAAAGTACTGTAGCTTTCCACCTTCATCCACTACTTACAGAGATTTTTACAGTTTTTGTTTCAGTAATGTTTGGGGCTATGAAGAATACTTGCCTCTTGTATGTGCATTTGAGGTATGAAGGAGCAATTTAGCAATTTGCATAACATTAACTTGCTCGTATGTTGGCGTAATTGTTTGGTTTAATAAAACGAGCTACAGAGAGCAGAAGTAAAACTGAAATCCGTGGTTCTTACTCTGGCCAATATTCCTTGGGAAAATGAGAGCTGCCAAGTAAGGATCCTAAAGAATCAGGCACAAGGACTTGCGAATCAGAAACAGCTTAAATTTCCACAAATGCTTTAAGTCTCGTTGCCGGACTCGTGCTGGTTGTTGAATGGATGGATGGTCGTATCTTGTCTATTTTCAGGTTATTCTAAAATGTCAATAAAAAGTATTTCAAGATTTTTTTTTGGTCAAGAAATGTAATTTTTGAACGTGCTACAGCAATGGAAACGACAGAGACGGAGAGCGTGAACTCGAAGGCTTTCTCAGCACTCTGTAAATCCTGCACGCAGTTAATGGCCCGGTCTGGGACTGCGGAGGAGGAGGAGGAGGCGTGTGTTGGAATGCTGGGTCTGACTGGTCAGTGCCCTGCTGCTGTCTGTGCAGTGCAGTGAGCTGGACGTGCCGTTCCCTTTCATGGACCGCTGTGAGTTTCGTGCATGCCAATGAGGACTTCGTTTTGCCAGTTCTCGTTCTGTGGTGGTTGGAGGTTTGAGTTGGTCTGTGTAAAGCATTAACTCCCACGTAGGTAAAGTACTTCCCTATATCTAACCTGGGTTCTGGTTGTTTAAAATTTGACTTGTCTGCCGAGTTGTGTAAACTCAGCGGGTGTTTTCAGAGTCCCTAGAAACTGAACTTGAGCTTAAAAGGTGAAGAAAACCAGCCTGGCCATTCCCTTCCCAGCAGGTTTTGGCGAGGCTTTTCTTTCTATCTGCTCCAGCCATTCCCTTGTGCCATCCTTACTGCCACAGCTGGGGACGAGCAAACCTCACCGGGGCTCCACTGAACGTGGGAATGGAGAGCAGCGCTCCGTTCCCGGCCAGGTGCCTGCATACCTCACTGAGAGCATAATTTGGGATGTTTAGAAGCTGTGTGCTGCTGTGTGGCTGCCCCTGCTCTGGAAGGGGCGCTGCAGGAAGCTTTATATTCTTGCCATATCTGTGCTGGGGTAACTGCTGGTGCGGCATTACTGAGGCACAGCCACGCGTTGCTGAGGAGCTCTGGTGGCATTTCATAGCCTGGATTTGAGCGTGGACGTTTCGCTTCTCCTCAGGTGGGGATCTCCTAACTTAGCCTCTGTAGGTAGAATTAGGAATCAGTGTTGCTTAACGTGTAGCTCGTTAGGGAGTCTTCGTATCGTGGAACTGTGAAAGCAAGTTAATTCGCTTCCCAAACCTTGCCATGGCTTCCTGCATGCATGTGATGAACTTCAGAACAAGTGGGCTGAGCTGGCAGTGGTGCCTGTTGGCTGTGGCAGCCCATGGCAGAGCACTGCGGTGTCCCTGCAGGGGAGAGCTGGGGCTCCTTGAGTCTGCCGTGAAAACCGAAGGTACGAGCATCTCTTGTCTCAGTTATAGGAAGATGGCACTGGAGCTGAAGAGAAATGCTTAACACTTCAGCATAAATGCCAGCTCTGACCCTAGGAATCAGAACCCAAAGTTGTCAGTATTACCTTAAACAAACCCCTTGGCCCCCCGGGCAGCGCACTTCATTAGATCTTGGCAAGACCAATTCCAAATAAACACAGTAGAACACTGCCTACATTTGCTCAAGTGCTTTTAATTTCAATACCTGCAGCCTTAGGTTATAAATCAATGTGATGAACAACACCTGTCCCAAAGGAGCGGATCGTGCAGCACCCTCCAGTTCCACATTGCACTCTGTGTCTCTGTGCGGAATGGGAAGAGGTAGGAAAGGAGAGGGCAGCAAACGTAGCAAGGAATGACTGCTGGAAGGGGATTTGTTTTGGTAACCAGGCTTCCAGGTTCTTCCTGAAGTAGGCAGGATCAATTACCGGAACATTTAGGCTAAAATTCAGTATATATGGGATGTTTTTTCAATGTATATTCGTATTTCTTGAGGTCATGAGAACTGTTTCATAACCCCTTTGTTTTTGTGAGCCAAGTTCTTTGCATAGCAGTGAAAAAAAGGGTATCCCTGTTAATCTATCGTGTAAAAACTCAAGTTGTCACTATATGCCGTGTAGTAACTTTATCACATGTTACGTCAAGTGTGAGCAACTTCTGGCCTGAAGCTTTTGCAATGGAATTTGTCCATTTCTATGCATCGTTTGAGTTAAATTGCTGAGGAGTTCGTTTTGTGCTTTGAGGTTGACATACTGCATTTGTTTACAATATGAAATATAAGCAATCACATCTTTAAAGTATAGATTATCACCTGCTGCTGTATTTTCTTTAGATGAAACAAATATTGCTGTATGATAGTGAGAAGCTATAAATACAGGATTTGATATTTTTTTGAAGATGCTGTCACTTTTGTATAAGATTAGACATTAAACGTATTTTCAAGACGGTCGTGTTCACTGTTCTTCACTCACAGCCCTTGGCATGCTTGTGTAGATTTTTATTTTATTTTATTTTATTTTAGCCTTGAATTAAACAGTAAAGAAACAGGACGTCCTTGGTTTGCAACGACTGAATATAAAATCAGAATTATTGGACTTGTGTGTTTTTCCTCTTCCTTTTGTGGTTTTTGTGCCTTCAGCACGTTCACAAGTGCTGAGGGGGTGCGTGGCTGTGCGTGAACCACAGAATGGCTTGGGCTGGAAGGGACCTCAAGGATCACGAAGCTCCAACCCCGTGCTGCAGGCAGGGCCACCAACCTCCGTGCTTAATAGCAGGCCAGGAGTTCGCTCTGTGATTTGGGATAGGAAATGCAGATCCCACAGAGGTTTGCTCAGCAGGACGGCGTGTGCCCAGAGCAGCCTGTGGAGCATCGCAGAATGGCTGAAGGCCTCACGTGGGAGCTGACTTTGCTCCCTGGCCATCACCAGGGACACCACGGTGAGCTGCTGGATCTGGGGAAGGTTTGACCCTGGGGGGAGGTTGGGAAGGAGCCGAGCAACCCGATGTTCTTATGGCCAGCTGTGTTCTGCTGACACTGAGGCTACGGCTGAAATCCTCAGTGTGGGATGGGGGGCATTGCTCACAGCTCAGGTCTAAAGAGAAGCTTCCAGCTGGTGGGGAGAGCGTTTTAGAGCAAGCAGCGGGTGGTGCTGCTGTAAAACTGAGAGACCTCTTCACCACGAGGCTGGTGGAGTGCTGCAGTGCTTGTGTCCAAAGGGGCCGTGCAGTTTCCATCCTTGGAGATTGAACTGGACAGCACGGTAGCAGAGGCACCACAGCACAGGAGCTGAGCACCGCTGAGCTCTGTAGCATCACTGAATGGTGCTCTGCTGCTCCTCAGCGTCTGACACCGAGCAAAAGCTGCTCGTCTGCTACCTGCTCTAAACGGCTCGGGTGCTGATTGAACGAGCTGCTGGCTGCACGTACAGAGCAGAGCCTCGCCGGAGTCAGCAGAGGGCAGTGCTGCTGTTTGAGAGCTCTCCTCGGGGACCTCTGCTTTGAGACATCCTCATTGAACGTACTCAATGGATTTAAAAAGGAAGGAGACAATTGCAGCAGTTCAGTGCCTGGCAGCATTGTTTGGGGTAAGGAGGGCTGCTGTGTGGGGTGGTGCTGGGGATGGTGGTGGCTTCTGGGATAGGACAAGGGGGAATGGTCTTAAACTGAGACAGGGGAGGTTTAGGTTGGATATGAGGAGGAAGTTTTTCAGCCAGAGGGTGGTGAGGCACTGGCACAGGTTGCCCAAGGAGGCTGTGGATGCCCCATCCCTGCAGGCATTCAAGGCCAGGCTGGATGTGGCTCTGGGCAGCCTGGGCTGCTGGTTGGTGACCTGCACACAGCAGGGGGTTGGAGCTGGATGAGCATTGTGCTCCTTTGCAACCCAGGCCATGCTGTGATTCTTCACACAGCGCCCTTGGGTTGGTTGGGAGATGGCACTGTAAGTTTGCTTCTTTGCACAGACCTGCATCAAACCGCATTGGGTTTGGAGGGGGCCGGGGGCTCCTGTAGTCTCCATTGACACAAATTGCTCCCACAAAGTGCTGGTTTTTTGCCTGCGCTCTCGTTTTCTAGGATGGAGCCACAAAGGCAGGAGGTTGGCGCTGAGGAGGTGTTGGTCTCTTTTCTCAGGTGTCAAATGATAGGATGTGAGGAAACCGGCCTCGGGTTGTGCTGGAGAGGCTTAGGTTGGACATCAGGAGGAGTTCCTTCATGTGGATGAGGGATCAGGCACTGCGTGGGGCGGTGATGGAGTTCCCCATCCCTGGAGGTGGTGGAGGGGTGGGGTTCGGTGATAGGGCTGATGGTTGGACTTGATGACCTTGTAGATTTTTGCCAGCCTGGATGGTTCACAATTTTATGGGTTGACTGTATGGCTCACTGAAAAACAAACAGCCCTATAAAGTAGACAGGAATTGTTCATTTCCAGCCAGCAGTTTCTTGGTTTGAAGTGATTTAAGCCCACGTAGATAGCTCTGCCATCGAGGTTGGGATTTTTGTCTCTGCAGGACTCGGTGTCCCCAGGAATGATGGAAAGCAGCACACAGCTTCGTGCTGGATGTGAGGAAATGTTTCTTCTGCAAAAGAGTGGTGATGCAGTGGCACAGCTGCCCATGGAGTGCTGGGATCGCCATCCCTGGAGGTGCTCCAGAACCATGGGGATGTGGCACGGAGGGATGCAGGCACGGCAGGGGTTGGTTGAGGTTGGGGATCTCCAAAATCTTTTCCAACCTGAATGGTTCTATGATTCTGTAAGGCATTAAGTCTTGCTATAGGTCAGTGTGAAGCATTCTGGGACCGATGGTAAGGGGTTGGTAATTCCAGTCTGTGATCACTGGCGGCTGCAAAGGGGCACAGGAGCTTTGGGTCAGTCTCTGAATTCATTTTTCGTACAATCACAGCATGGCCTGGGTTGCAAAGGAGCACAGTGCTCATCCAGTTCCATCCCCTGCCGTGTGCAGGGTCACCAACCAGCAGCCCAGGCTGCCCAGAGCTGCATCCTCTGCTTGGTTTTGTGCAGTTCTTCAGCATACCTGCAACCTGTTTGCCCTCTCCTCCCTTTTTAACCTGAGCTAACAGAGCATGCAGTTAATTGACCCAGATGGCAGTCATACAGTAAATATTGCTACGAGGCAATGACACGAAATCTCCTCAATAAACACAATTAAGTAGACTGAAGCTCTGTGGATGATTGCAGGGCAGCCTATCAAAGGGAAACGCTGAGTGCTGTGTTGTCTTAGGGCGGGTGGTGCCAGGATGTCCTGTGAAACAGCACCAGGGGTGGGGTGAGCACTCAGCTCCACAGATCAGCTCTGC